TCATTAAGTGAATATTAATATTACATTTTATGCAACTAATTCATTTTTTAATAAAAATATGATTAAAGTAGGCTCTGAGTTGTGGTGATCATATGAACTTTACAACAATGAAAATTAGTTAAAATGGCGGATGTCGCGGGAAATCGTCGTAAAAAAACTATTATTCCAAATTATTTAATCAATTTCTTAGATATCCAAGATATTTTACTGTAACCAAATCAGTAACAATAGTTTTAAATGTGCAAAGGTTTTTTTTACTGCGATGTAGTCTAGTGTCGATGCCTTCTTAAATAGGCATTTACGGTATGTGACTGTGCCTGATTCCAAAGAAAAAGGAGAGAGGAAGTCTTAGGAGCACCCACTGGGGAAATTCGTCATATGCAGCACAATAACATTGCAGTAAAGGTAGGATTTATTTTCTTTCAATTAAGATATAGGATATTATAGGGCAGGTGCATGTGTATATAAAAGGATGAAGGGGTTGGTTCTGGTTCATCTAAAACATTAACAAGTTGCACTAAATATTACAATGAAACCTGAAACTAAAACGTTTAAGGTAGTCATTCAATTTTGAATTTTGTCGCTAGATCTTTTGAAGGAGCTGTATGCCTTCTGATTCTTTTAATTAGATAAGGTAATAATTACTTAGACAAATATTTATTGAAATAATTCAATTTTTCTAATACAATAACAGTCAGTAATTATAACAAGTTGTTTTATGATAAAAATGTGGAACCAACTCTAATAACCAGTCACTATTTATAACAGTCAAGTCCCTCATAAAGAGTTTTGTTGTTTGTACCACTTCACAAAAGAGTAACCTAAAAGAAAATTATTCCATATTGAGTATACCTCGCAATTCTTCCTCAAGAAAACTAAAGGGATAAAAACTATTTCTTTATATAATAATGTCAACATTTCCCTTTACAGTATTAAAGGTCCATCGAGATAGACTGTGTGCGTGACTTTCATAATCTACCCTAATGAAGATTTATCACTGTAAAGCGAAACGTTAGCATGATTACGTAAATAAATTAAAAGTTTTTATTCTTCAATTTGCTTGAGTTTTTTCCTCATTCCAAATTAAGTTCTGTAAAAAATAAGACAATAACATACCATTGGGGTTGTTCTATAGTGTATAAAACACTATCAGGGTGAATATAAAGTTCAATGTTTCCTCGAACTGTCTTATAAACGCCAGAGTAATGTAAATAGGCTGCATTAGGAAATAACCCAGTTACTAGACATTTACATATAGCCTCTGTATTACCTAAAGACAATGTTTTAACAATATAAAGCACCTTTAATTAACTACGAAATAATCGATAATATAGAGCTATGTTACTGTTTATTTATTTACAAATAGTTACCTTGACACGAAATAAGTGGTATGTTGTAGTTAAGGGCCATTTTTTGGAGATTACTTCTTACATCTGCCACTCTTTTCATTGCTTTGTAATTGATAAAATTTTTGTGGCAAAATCCTTTATCCATTTCACTTTTAACAAACGCTGAATATATATTCAAGTATGTTATTAAATCCCCTTCGGCAACCTCAAAATTTCTTCTTTGTATCCTTGACTTTGCAATCATATTTCCAGTAGACGGTTTTGTAAAAACTGATTCAACTTGCAGCATTGAAATTATTGTTAGTATTTCCTCTGAGCAACCGAAATCACCTGAAGTAAAAAATTATTAATAAAGGAACTTCTGTGGTCGGTTGGCTTTACTTGACGTTACTCATCCTTCTGAAGAAGCTAACAGCATGAACAGCGAAACGTCAACTAAAGCCAACCGACCAGAGCGTAACCCGGAAGAAGTTACTAATAATAACAAAGTCTGCACTCAACAATTAGTGATGTACTTAAACAATATTTACATTCTTGTACCTGAACTAAATAGTATTTTTGAATACAAAGGATCAATAGCAAACTCCGCCATATTAAAACCCAAAGGGTTGATTAATTCTCCCTTTATATCGATAGTATTTAAGGCGTACAAAATTTCTACTGCACTTTTTAAATTTTTGACTGGAGGCGGACTCGGAAAATCGAATTGTAAAATGTTACTAATTCCCAAAGCTTTCAATTGCAACACAACATAGGTCAAATTGCTTCTAACCATTTCTGGGGGTGTTGAGTCGGCAAGTTTTGCAAATTCGTCTTCGGTATACAATCTATATAAAATAAAAAAATATAAATTTAATTTGAATTAAAATTGTTTTTCAAAAAAACATTTATTACCTGTAACATTTACCATGTTTAACCCTCCCAGCGCGCCCAGCTCTCTGATTAGCTGAGGCCTTACTTACAGGCATAACAACCAGACTATCAGTATGAGTTTCATTATTAAACCATTTTAATTTCACAAAACCGCAATCAATAACTGGAAAAGGAAATCAGTTATTTTTCTAAATTGACTTAATATGTGCAAATTTTACCATAAACTATTCCTGGTATCGTAACAGAAGTCTCTGCTACATTTGTAGCAATGATAACTTTTCTATAACCATCAGAGACGTGTCTAAAGACTTTTAATTGTTCGTAATGAGGTAGAGCACCGTACATCGGCAATATTTCAATTTTGTTTTTCTTTTTCTCTTGTTCCAATATACTGGCGTGCTCTCTTAAAATTCTGACTGCTCTGTCTACCTCTTCTTGTCCTGTTAAAAAAGCCAAGATATCCCCGGGGGCTTCGGACGAATTTATTTTTAAAACTGTATCCACAGTGGATTGAACATAACATGGGGCAGGTTCTGAAACATTATAAAGTAATTTATTAGCTTTAACATCCAACAGAATAAACGTTGCGGTTTTTATATTTAAACAGACATTACCTTTTAAGTATAGAATATCTACAGCATATTGCCTACCCCTAATAGATAAAATTGCACTGTTATGCTTTTTCTTTTGATCTGAGCCACTATCAAAAAACTTTTGCAATTCCTCAGCGTCTACTGTTGCTGAAGCTACAACTAATCTTAACTCTCGTCGCTTCTATTAACAAAAAAATATCAATGTAATTTAATTAATTAACTAGTTAATGAGTAACTTATACCTTTAAAATTTTCTTCATTAGGCCTAATAAGATATCAGTGTATAGGGTCCTTTCATGCACTTCATCTAACATAATTACAGAGTAATTTTTTAAAAGAGGATCACCCATGATTTCTCTGAGGAGAATTCCTTCGGTCATATACTGAAATGTTTTCCTATTGTATTATTATAATTTATATCCAAAAAATGATGTTTTTACCTTTATCTTTGGCTGGTTTGTACATGCATCGAAACGCACAGCATATCCGACTGTATCGCCCTGTACAAACGTTCCCATCTCATCCGCGACACGATTAGCTAATGATATTGCTGCCACCTTTCTAGGTTCGCACACCCCTATTTGTGCAGGCCATTCTGCTTCAATCAGATACTAAAAAAATGACCTTCTAGTAATGAGATAAGCTTAAGTTCCATCGAAATAAATAATTACATGATTTAATGCAATTCTAATATTTTGATTAAAAATAACATAATACAAAACCCATTGTTAGGTATCCGTTTGGTGAATTTGCCCCAGACTAAAGTGAATTTCATGTTTCTGCTGCAAACTGTCCTTGGCCTAAAAATAGTTAACAGGTTAACTTATAGAACCATCTTTTTTTATGGCTTATTACAGCCTTTTTCTATGTTCTGTAACTCGTTCAGGACTTAAAATAAAAGACATTTTTTACTCACAAAAATTTAATCTCACTATGTTTTCAAAGACTCTTAACAATGATTTCAAATTGTAAGTTGCTAACAAGAATTTGTGCTTGTAATGTGCTAATATTAGCTGTAATTATTAGTTACAATAACAGAAATATAAATTCCTTTTAGCTTGGGGCCATGCCTGGAAGTAGTCTTCCGTTAAATTAAATCAAAATTAATAATTAAGTATCCACTGCTTTAATTAAATAAATTAAAATAACTGCCACTCCAATAACTTGGACGTACTAAATTAATTATCATATACCTGTGGAATTTGAGTGCTTTTTCCGCATCCAGTCTCCCCCACCAGTACTAATACTTGATGCTTCTCAAGTAAATACAAAATGTCTCTTCGATTATTAAAAATAGGTAACTTTTGTCTTTGAACTTGGAGTGTTTGTGAATTAAATCTGTTGTAAACAAAGTCAGTGGCTTCCACTAAAGATGATTCTCTTCTGTCTAAATAACTAGAAGTCTCTGTAGGTTTCAAAAATCGAGGTTTAAAATCAATCGTTTGCATTTTATCCAACTATCTAAAAATAATAGTATTAACAGTTATCCAGAGCGTCTATTAAGATTAATGTACCCAAATATACAAATTAGTAATGCTTTAAGCAGAAAAAGGGACGAATCTTTTCTAAAAAGGT